GAAAAGAACAAAATAATATTTTATTTAAGAAGAGCAGTGATTTCCCATATGAAAGGTGAACATTGAAGGAAGCTTTGATGGAAAATACGATATTTGATGAAGAAAAACAATGAGTTTGGTTTTTGAATGGTTGATTTTGATAAACTTGTAGGGCATCCAAGCATATCCTTGGAAGGAATCAAAATATATGATGAGAGCTTGGGAGAAAGGTCAAGCTTGGAGAAAAAATGTGAAAGTGATCTTCATCAAAGAGAGAGTTGAAGCCAAAGAATTAGATGTGCTCACCAAGGAACATAAAAGCATAAAAGAAGGAAGATGAATAGTTAAAACCAAATAATATGTATATTTAAAGGGAAAGGGGAGATAGATGATCTAGCCAAGAAAAGTAGTGGTCAGAAAGGCAAGAAGAAAATCGGGATAGTGTGGTGTCATAGAAGTTAAAAGAGGGCAAAATATGCAGAAGGAAGGGGTGGCCCAAGTATCAAATGATGTGAAGTCATCATGATGAAGCCTGATAAAAATATTCTGGATTTGTCCATCAAGATGCCACACACACTTTGAAAGAGTATTAGACTTGCTAGATTAGAAACAAGATTCCAAACGGTTAATAGAATGTCTATATTTGGGGGAATGATTTGTCAATGTTAGACTGAACATGAGAAGGCTGATCACCAGATAATGACTATTGTTCAATCCATAATAACTAATGAAGAGTATCCGTGACGTTTTCCCCTTCCTCCATATTGTTGAAGTGCTGAAGTAATCTGCTATTTGGGGAAAGTTATTTGGTCCAAGAAAACTCTGAGAAAATTCTAAACTTTGGGTTTCAGTTTGGGTTATAGATATAAATAAAGGCTGGAGGGGTGGGGATGGGAATGTGGTACATTGGAAAAGACAGTGGATTTGGAGCCAGGAAATCCAAGTTTGAATTAAGCTCTGGTAAGAACTATGGGCCTTGGGTAGAACACTTCATTTTACCTCTTTGGGCTGCTGTTTCCTCATATATAAAATGAAAAAAATTTACAACATTATCGATCAGTTCCATTCCAGGTCAAAATTCCGTGATTATAGATTCCTTCTCACTACTGGTAGCCTCTAATTCAAAAGTGTCTGATTATGGTTATATGTTGAGCATCATCTGTGGTCAATTGTATGGCAATTACTTTTTTAAAGCTCATATTTATTGCCTTTCTCCATTAGAATGTAATCTCCTTGATGGCAAAACCCATATTGTTTGTGTTTGAATCCCTAGCATAGTACCTGGCATATAGTAATTGCTTATTAGTTATTTTTTTCTTCCTTCCTTCCTTCTTCTCTTCTTCTCTCCCTTTCTTCTTTCTTTCCTTCCTTTCTTCCTCTCTCCATCTTTACCCTCCCTCTCTTCCTTACTCCTGCCCTCCCTTCTTCCTTCTTTTCTTTCCTCCCTCTTTTCTTTCCTCCCTCCCTTCTTTCTTTCTTTCTTTCTTTCTTTCTTTCTTTCTTTCTTTCTTTCTTTCTTTCTTTCTTTCTTTCTTTCTTTCTTTCTTTCTTTTCTTTCTTTCTTCCTTCCTTCCTTCCTTCCTTCCTCATATCTATCAATCTATCTATAATAGATATAGCATGTATGTATGTATCATCTATCTATCACCAGGAGCTCACTACTTAAAAGTTGGAACCTTCTTATACTGCGGAACCCAAAGAATGAGGAATCACACCAGAGTAGGGATTTATGAAAGAGTTTATTGGACAACATCCAATGAGCAGGAGTGTGTCTATTGGGGGTAAGTGGGGGACCAGGGCTTTGACATAGAAAAATCACATAAGAAAACCAGACATCATAAAATCTGAACTTGCTATTAAATTATAGGTGATCATTAAACATATAAATGGTTCTCTGGTGGTTTCTTTAAATGGTACATTTAAAATATGATTAAGATCTACCCCCAAAAAATGTGATTGACAACTTTTAAGACTACATTTAACCTATGTAAAAAGTAACATCTGTATTTATGAGGAGGTGGACAACATTTTCACACTGACTTCACAGAAATTTTAATATTTTAGCAATCATTTTCAAGATAATAGACACCATATTCAAAATTAAATATGGGCAAGCAAAATGACAACTCAAAAGTCACACTATGAAGTTTTTTTTTGTATATGAACATCAAGCATTTCTAAATGAATAACTACAGTTCTCAAAAACAAGTTTGTAATCTCAGACTCACAAGAACTAAGATTTCCTCCTAAGAAAGAAGACGAGAGAGAGAGAGAGAGGAGAGAGAGAGAGAGAGAGAGAGAGACAGAGAGACAGAGAGACAGAGAGAGACAGAGAGAGAGACAGAGAGAGAGACACAGAGAGAGAAGTATGCTAGGCAAACTATTACAACAACTCCCTAGAAAGGACTAGGTAGAGAATCTTCCTCATTAGTTTTAATCCTAGCAAAACACTTTTTAATTGATGTTAATGCTCAATGTTGGAGAGATTAGTCTCTGATGATTTCTGAATTGGATTTTAATCCCTTTGAAGAGCAAAATGTATTCTTGTTAGTTTTCTCTACTTTATTCCTTTTCCTATCACTTGCCTATCACTGCTCACTTGTGCATTCTTTCTTTTGGATCCAAGTGTCTGTCTATCTATCTGTCTTTATCTCCACCTCCCCCAGCCTCTGTCTCTCTGTCTCTCTCTCCCTTTCTGTCTTTTTCTTTGCCTCTATCTCTTTCTCTCACTGTCTCTCTTCTCTCCCCCCCACATTTATTTAAATCATCATTTCCCCATTTTCTCTATTGAAAGGAAATGTATGCTTTTTTCTTTACCAAAATATGAATTGAGGATTACATTGTTTTCTTCTTTTTGATTTAAACCAGTATACTTTAAAGAAACCTTTTGAAATGATCACATCATTTTTTTTCTTCCCCCAACACTGCACTCATCACCTCCTTGATGAATTTCCAGGTAATGATAAGGAGAAAAAACACAACCAATAAGCACCAAAAACTGCATCTTTAAAAGGATATGTAGAGGGAAAAACCTATACAGGACAGACCATTCCACAGATACTAAATCTTCTTTAAATTCTCTATCAATGAAGCAGTCAGAAACAGTTCTCTGGATACCCAATTTTAAGACCTGCTCCAGGAATTTAGCTATAGCTCCTTTCTTCTCCAATGTCTTTTGCTAGTTATTATGCATTGACATATTGCCACCTCTGAAGCTTATTTATGCACCTGCCCTTACAAGAAAGCATCAACAGACAATAACCCTTTGGTAGAAATCATGTCCAAGGCTCACTGCCTTGTACAGGGAATCTTATCTTAGAAGGAAAAATAAAAGTTGTTCTGTTTTGTTCACCTCACAGATCTGCAGGTTTGCTAAGACGCAGCAATCCCCAGTTCACAGGTTCTGACCAAAACATGCAGAAGAAGTGGATGACTGCGTACTCTTTGATTTGACTAACAGGCTTCAAAGCTAGACTTGGGGATATTGGTAAGTTGAACTCCCCTTCATCCCGAGCTTTCTCCCCAAAACACACAAATAGACACAGACAGACACAGATACACACATGTCCTTGTTGTGCTCTATTGAAAGTCATCAAATATCTAAGGGATATAACAATATGGGAAAATAGCAGACGTGGTAAGCTGAAGAAACTTATCCCTATTACAGTTCAGGAAAGGAAGGAAAGAGCATTTCAACTGGAATTATGGTATTTAAACTGGCTCAGAGTGAGGTATGTTCAAGGAAATAACCAAGCCAGAGTATGTCTGGCATAGTCCGGCATACCTGTCTCTTCACCCTCACTACAAGCTTATCCCTGGACAACCTCTAGATTTAAAAGTCCCGATTAAAGAGCAACCTGTAAAAATCCAAGCCAGAGAGACAAAGTAAAAGATAGATTAGGAAGTTTTTTTTTTTTAATCGCAGTACTCGCTACAGATATAGGCACAGGTAGACCCTGGAGCGCAGGGGCTGATGCAGCGCAGCCAGTGAGTGTTCACTCAAAGAGCCTTCAATGGTTTGCAGTTCCCAGGAGCTCCTAAGATCAGGACAGCTCCTAATAAGCCTGGCTCCTGGAGCTGCACGAAGGGCAAGCCGCCAGTCTGCTCTGCCCGTGGGTGGGAAACAGGACTGATCTGGCAACCGGAGACTCTCTGGCCCCAGGTGCCAGTTAGGAATCCCCAGTCCTGTTACCCTTCCTCATATTCATTTCTCTGCTGTCCCAGTCTTGGTTCCTTTCTCTGCCCTGTCCTAGTTCAATCCCACCATCTCTCCACCATCTCTTACAGAGTGTGGCTCAGCACATCTAGCTCCATTCTACTATCTCCTGTCCCATTTGGTCTTATATCAACGGGCAATCTCAAGCTACTTCCCACCCCCGACCCATGACCCATTCAAGTACTCTCAAACCCCTCCCCCAGCCTCCCAGCTAGTCAATTTCAGAACCACCACTACCCACCACACAAAACAGGGCAGGACTCCACCTCTCTTTCTCTCCTAACGTCTCGATCTGACCAGAATACTCAAGGGGAACAAAATCACCCAGTTCCCAGAGCTCTCCCAGGATGCTTGGTGGGGTGCCAGGCTGCAGCGCTGAGACTTCCTCACCACTTCTGGCCCCTGGCTCTGTTTATACCACAAGGGCAGTACCCTATCTGGGGATCTGGAGACCTATGTAGGGGGTTGACCACCACTGAGCCTCCCCACTTTTTAATCACGACAATCTGCACTTACCCAGACGCCACAAGCACAGTTCTTTCCCCCTCAGACCTGGCGCGCACAATCCCAGACTCAGCTCAGTGTTTACCCACTCCGACCTAATAAGGCTCGTCCAGTCACTGGGCACGCTTTTTATCCCGCCAGTCGGCGGCTCTCAGGTAGGGAGGAGGGCAGGCAAGCTATGGGTCTATGTATCCCCCGCCCTCTCTGAGCAGGCCCCCCCCCATTCCTCCCTTCCACCCGCCCATCTTTGCATCCACAGACCCGTGCGGCAAATGCGGGGGTGGGAAGGGGGGGGACTTACCTACCAGGAACAAGGTGACCCAGAAGCTTCACCCCAGGGCAACCAGCGAACAGCAGTCAGAGAGCAGAACCTCGTCGACGCCGCTCCCCCTACAGTAAGCTGGGGCACGCAGGTCAGTGCGAAGCCCCACTCTTCTGGTCTCCCACGCGAGCTCTAAGTCGGCTCGCTGGAAAGGCAGCGGCCGCCCCTCTCTGGTTTCTTTACCCGCACCCGGAGCCCTGCGCCGCCCCGAGCGCCACAGGGAGCTCCGGGCGCGGGGCAGCAGCTTCGCAGGCTTTGGGGACCCCAGAGAGGGGCGAAACAAGAGGCGGGGAAGAAGCTAGTGTGGGGCTCCTAGAGAGGTGGAGCGAAAAGAACCCTCCTTCTCCAAGCTCACAGGGAAGGGAGGGTGGGTTCAGAATCAAGGAGCTCGGAGTCCAGCCGGTGGCTAGCGCGAGGGATGGCTGCTGCGTGCGCCTCTAGGCTCAGAGAGCATGGTAACATGTGTGACTGAAAGGACAGCTGCCCGGCTCCCCAGGAGGTGGAGGAGAAGGAGGGAGAGGGATGCAAAAGCAGCCCCAACCCCTGCACTACAACGGCAGCCAACTTTGCCTCTGCAGCGGCCAGGGAGCTGGCAGGTCAGTCGGGCTGCTGCCGCTGCTGCTGCCTCCCCACCCTGTGGCGCTCCTGACACCCTCTAGCCGCCAGACCAGAGCGTGAGCTATAAGGCAGAAATGCAAAACGGGTGGCTGGAAATATGAGGGCGGCAGAAGCAGGAGGAAAAACAGATCTCAGACTAGGTTGACAGGAATTTACCGCCCTGCACTGGGAAAAGGCGGCTCCCCCTGGTCCTAAAGACATCCTGTCCTCACGCACTTGATACTGAGGTCCCCACCATAGCCCCAGCCGTTTCACCAATATCCGCTTCTGACTCTTAGCCAAATTAACCCAAAGTTGAACTTGAACCCCACACCTAAGACCCATCCTAAAACAAAAGATGGGGAAGGGCTATCTATATTCTCCCTATCTTCTGTCCATAAGCTGTATTTATAAGTAACAGTGGATTCATAGAATCTGGAAGTAACCTTAGAGGTCATATAGTCCAACCCATGAAATATTCATTTCTTCAACGTCACTGAAAACCTAGGCATGGCACATGGAGATAACTTAGCTTCTTTACTATTGCTTTTCCTCTGTAATGTTAAGTGTTTTTTTGTTTTTGTTTTTGTTTTGTTTTCCCTCTTTTGGTCTAACTAAAAGTCTATAAAGTTTAGGTAACTGGTACTGGTATAGTCAGTTGGCCATTTGACACCTGCTGAACCTCTGAGGCTAAAAAAAAAGGATCATGAAATTCATAGGTATAAGAAAGAAGTGTTTGGGCAGGAATATGGAAGTCTGTTTTCAAAATCATGGTTAGTGGGATCAGCCTGCCTTTTGCTTTAGTATTTAAGCCGCTACCTTACCTTTTCATTCCTGAAACATAAACTAGCTTCCCAAGAGGAAGCTGAGAGTAGAAGCAGAGACTTTGTTTTCTACCCAGAGCTATTTCCTCCAACCCAAACTGCACCATTTGTCTTTTTATGGCTGATTTCTCCTGTTAGATTTTGAATTCCTTGAGGAAAGGACCCTGTTTTCTTCATCATTATATGTCCCTCAGCACCTAGCCAGATGTCTTGAACATAATAACAGCAGCAATAATAACTCAATTGCCAGTATGCTTCCCACACAACCCTGGGAGGTATTGCCAGAACTATTACCCACATTTTAAAATGAAGAAATTAAGGCAGGGAAAGGTGAAGTGACCTGGACAGAATTGAGCCAAGGTTTCCTGCTTCCAAGTCAAACTTGCTTTTTTATTAGATAAAGCTCAAGCGCCCTGTGATTTCATTGGGCTAGGGAATTACCAGAGGAGGAAATTTCTTTGAACAAAGCCAGTGGATACCTTCTCTGTAACCTAGAATCAGAGTTGCCTGAGACACTTAAAGGTTAAGTAACATTTCCAGAGCCACATAACTTGTTTGTGTCAGAGTTGGGACTTGAATCCATTTTTTTCCTCAATGAAAAGATAGCTTTCTCTCCACTAAGCTGTGTTGTGCCATGCTCTAAAGATCTATAAATATTTGTTCACTTCAATTCAACTGACAAGCTAGACCATCCTTATAAAATCAAAAAGAAATTCCTAGTTTCACACAGGCATTTCATCTCAAATAGCTTGTCATTGCAAATGAACCTCTATTCCATAGTCCACTTAGTCTTATACCCTACACCAGGGCCAAACTATGTCCTATTCCCATCCCATTCAAGCACTCTCAGCCCTCCTCACCAGCTAGTGAGTTTCAGTTTCACCACCATTCACTACAGAGAGATGCACAGGACTCCATCTCTTTCCTTCTCCTAGCCTGGATCTAACCAGAATGCTCAAGAACAAAATGGGACAAGAGTTTCTCCTACTGGAATTCCCCGAATGATTATAACACCATTGTTAAGGATTCAACAAACATTTATTAAGTATCTACTATGTGCAAGGCACTGTAGCACATTTACATAATTCAACAAACATGTATTCAACAAACAGCCTTCATTAAATACTTACTATGTGCAAGGCACTGTCAAACATTTAGATAATGCAAAGTCCATATTTGAATATTTGGATACCATTAATACTCTCCATCATATTAGACTTTTTTTCTTTTTCAGGCAATTGGGGTTAAGTGACTTGCCTGGGGTCACACGGCTATTATTAGTCAAATATCTGGTCTGAGGCCAGTTTTGAACATAGATCCTCCTGACTCCAGGGCTGGTGCTTTATCCACCGTGCCACCTACCTGCTCCCATATTAGATATTTTTAAAAGAAGTTGTGTAGACTTGGTCTTGGCCAAATCCCCACCTGCTCCCTTAGTCTCCGTTCCTACCTCTGTAATTTGAGATTTTTGGACTAGATAATCTCTAAAATCCCTACTAGTTCTACGATTTTTTCACTTCCTTGGGTTAAGAGATGGTTGTCTGCAAGTTTGTATGTAGGTTTTAAATATTTCCTGCCTATATTGCCAAAGCCCCCATGAGTTGCCCTGAATTATTTTTTTCAGAATCAATGATGGGGTATAGGTAAAATTGTCAGGTATGTTGTAGAAGGAGGGAGGGAGGGAGAGAGAGAGAGAGAGAGAAAGAGGGGTGGGGAGAGACTGATAGAGAATTTATTACACAATTACCATGCATCAGGCATTATGCTAGTTGTTAGGGATATAAATATAGGCAAGAATGATAATCCCTGCCCTCAAGGAATTTGCATTCCAATGATGGAATATGAACTATAAATGGGAGCTGGAAAAGGTGAGGGAGAAGGAGGCATGCTATGGAGCCTGCCATAAAGTGATATGGAGGCTTAATCTTGGTCAAGATCATTCACTTTAAGAGCCTCACATTCTAAGGATAGACCTCAACCTTCTAGTGGGAACTGGACATGATGGGTTGAGTGGAGACCGACAGCATAGTATGGAGATCACACAAATTTGGACTAGAAGGCTTCTGAGGGCCCTGTGAACTCAAATAATATGGTTCTATGTGTTTTTTATTTTTCAGATAGATGAACTAGGTGAAAAGGAAAACGTAGGTGGCAAGGTTAGAGCAATAATGGCACATTCGTATTGCACTTAATAGGATCATAGATCTAGATTCCACTTTCTCTACATCATTTTATTTTACACTTACACGAATTAACTGGATTTTATATATAAAGAATCTCTAGCTCAGAGAGCTTAAGTCTCTTTCACCAAGGTCATAGAGAGGACTCAGGACTGGAACCCAGGTCCCCTGATTTCCATTCTAGTGCTTTTGGCAGTATACCCTAGAGCAGAGGTGGGGAATCTGTGGCCCTCTAAGTCCTCAAATGTGGCCTTTGACTGAATCCAAACTTCATAGAACACATACTCTTAATTAATAGATTTATCCTGTCAAACTTGCACTCAGTGAAAATGCCACACCCAATGGACTAGAAGGCAACACAGGGCCTCCAGGCTGTAGATTGCCCACCCCTGCCCTAGTACTTCTTGATTGGAACAGATTCTGGGAGAATAAGCATAGGAATACAGAAAGTATTCAGGAAGGGAAGTCTCTCAGTAATTTGATTATAGATGTTCTCTAAGAGGAAAGACCTATTAACTTTAGGATAATGGAGAAGAAAACAGGGCAAAATTTGGAATGAGGGGTTTGTCATGTACTTTTTCTAAGGAAATTAAAAGAGAGTGACAAGTATTAGATTTCCACAATAGAAAGGTGGAGGAAGATATAGAAGAATAAAAATAGCTCACTTAGTACATTGCTGTAACACTTACAGTTTATGAAGTTCTTTTCTCACAGCTAGCATGTGAAGTAGGTCATGCAGTTATCATTAATCCTATTTTACAGATAAGGAAACTGATTCCTAGGTATGTGAAATGAGTGCTAGTATCAGAGGTTTCAAGCACAGTTTTTTTCTGACACAGGTCAGTGTTCCTTCCACTACACCAAGTGCCTCTGAAAGACAGTAATAAACCACTGATCATAACTTGAGCTATTCTTAACAGTCAGTACTTGAGTTCATTCATTCATTGATTTAATTAATATTGAGTCTTAACTAAAACAAAGGCCTGAAAGTAAAGAAATTATTATCTTAGCCACAGGTTCCAAGCTGCAGTACTACAGGCAAATCACTGAATCAGTCTGTATCACCATTTTCCAAATTAAATGGGGCCAGAGATGGAGATTGGAAAAGGTAAGCTCCAAGATCTCCTCCAGCTTGGAAATTCTTTGATTCTGTGATTTTATTACCTGTATATCACTATAGGAGTTTCACAGAAGGATCATTTATGGATTCAGTCCTCATAGAGAGTCCAGGCTAGATCAGAGTATGATTCTATTGAAGATGTGAAGACAGCGAGAGAAAGAGAGACAGAGATAGAGCCAGACAGACACAGAGAGACAGATACAGAGAGAGAAAGACAGAGAGACACACACAGAGACAGAAAGAGGCATACAGAGACAGAGACAGACAGAGAAAGAAATATAGAATCAGAAACTGAAAGATAGAAATAGAGAGACAAGTTTTGTTATAAGGTCTACTTAATGGTATGAAAAATCATTTAATGGCTCCATCTCAGTCCATCTACAAATAACCATATTGTATATATGCCCCATAGTTTCACACTTCTATAATGATTTTTGTCATATGTTTCATCATCCAACTTCCTTTCCCACCCCCATCTCTCTCTCTCTCTCTCTCTCTCTCTCTCTCTCTCTCTCTCTCTCTCTCTCTCTCTCTCAATATATATATATATATATATATATATATATTATATATATATATATATATACACATATACATATATACACACATTTATTCATTTATAGAAAGACATACATACATATACACACATGCATATGTTTAAAAAAGTCAATAAATATTGACAAAACAAAATGCTAGGTGAGACTTTGAGGAAACCAACATATCTTCACTGTAAAGAATTTTAAGGTATTTATATATTGCTAACTCCTAGCCTTCCTGAGACACTGCAAAGTCCAATCCAATTAGGAATAGAAAAAAAGTGAAGTAAAAAGAAGGAAAATCTCAAATCATTAATGTGAATACCTGAGGGATAGCCTACCTCCATTGGGAAAGAATGATAATATTTGATTAAATGTCAGGTTGATCTCAGTGAGATATTTAAGAA